CAATTGTATAACTAATTATTTAGAAAGATCCTATGAAACAACATCTGGAGAAGATTGAAGCAGGTGAATTTGGGACTTGAAGAGTCCACAGCATGCCAAAAAACAGTACGGTGTGGGATTATCTTTACTGGAATGGGTTCAGGAAAAACAGTTCTTCTTCAATTAAAATACACCTGAGATCTTGATATGAAAGGCTACAGGTTGCTTATTGCTCTTTTCAATATACTGAGTTAGAATTTCCAAGGGCAGAAGCCTCCAGGAAGAGTTCAAAGGTAGAATGTTTGTGCAGGAATTGAATGCAGACAGCTTCTCTGCTTATTAACATCTTGCAGGAGTGAAAAGCAGACATCTCTGGAAGAGGAAAACAAACTTTTGTTTCAGAGAGCTGATAGTTTTACTGCCTCTTTCACTGCCAGGATAAGATCCTCAGCTGGCATGAACAGCAAAGCTCTACTGAAGCGCATGGAGCTGTGCCAGGTAGAGCTGGTCTGAGATCAGGCCCTGGGACGTGTAGTCAGGATGTAGTCAGGATGCCTTCCTGCTGTCAGATGCCAGAGCAGCTCCTCCCCAAAAGCATGTGACAAAGCTTCTACCACATCTGTTACTCCAAGAGGCTCTCTCAAAAAGCTTTTTCCTTCAAAGAAATTACAAGCAAGCCACTATCTTTTATCATTTCTGTCTCTCTTGCCTTCTCTTTGTATTTTTCCGTCAACTAAGCCATATTAATTTTGAGCTATAAAGCTTTCTAAAAGCTTGCAGAAATTAATGAGCTAAAGTTGGCAGTATGCAATGATGCGTGTCAAATAAAAATATACTCAGCATTTTTTCCCAGAATTGCCAACACCTTAGGACTTTGCAGTAAACCAAATACTTTTAAAGTAGTGCAACAAATGTAAACTCTAAATTTGCCAGCAGTAGGTGGATTGCAGATGCAGTAAATCTGGTTTTCTCATACCAGGCAATTAGTCTTGTATTTAAAGCAAAAAAAAATCCCAATACACTGGCTGTGTATGTTCCAAGCAGTGTGAAGATAACTTGGGAAATTTGAGAATTGTTTAGCATTCACTTTTCTCTCTCTTCCTTCTTAATTCAGCTAATAAGAAGATGTAGAGCTCTTAATAAGGTCGTTCTCAGCCATAGCTGAAAACTGGAGCACTAGTGGGCTTAGTTTTAAACAGTGAAGGGTTGTATTTCCCTGTCCAAGCTATTTTCTCCAGTCTTATGCTGTGTTGTCATTCACATGTTTTATTGAATATAACTCTCTGGATATCCTGCATGCTGTGTTGTAAGCTCTTTGCATAGACTGTAAATCCTCAAGGATTTTGCAAACTAAGATTTTTGTAACACATATATTTACTGGCTTAGGACCTGATCCTCTAATTAGTACCATACAGGTAAGTTCTTACACCCATATCCTTTTAGCTCAAGGGTCTGCTCTGCAGATTTTTACTCAATAAATAATAAAGGATGCAAGATCACAGCCTCAGGAATCAAAGAAAATAGTTTTTGTATGTGTTTTCTTCAGTTAAACATACCACAGTGAATTTGACTAAGATCTGATTCTAAACTGAATTCATCGCTCTTAATCTGCAGTGTAGGGGGAAAATTGAGCCAATGAGACCAAAATAAACATTTTGCTCAGATCTGCCTCCTTATCTGACATTGGAAGGTCCCATAAAGGAATGAAAAGGAGCGTTGAAATACAGCTACAAACTTTAAGGTTTTTATTGCTCTTATCAGGACAGCATATAAGATTGTGTATATGATGTGTGTCTGTGGTCTTTGACCACAAAACTTGAGAAAGGAAAGTGTTGACACTTGGTAAAGAAATAGGTTCCTCCCAGCCACCCACCCACAAATACAGTGTGTGTAGCAATCATCTCCTAATGTGCTTTTTTCCCCTCCAGATATATGAGTGCTCTGATCTTTTATTTGGCGCTTTAATGCATCCCTGCAAACGAAATTAGTATTCTGGGATGTTGCTAAAACATTCAAGTGGCTCTTTTGCATCAGCACTGGCTGGCTTGAAATGAGCTCCATAGGGAGTCTCGAAAGAGGATCCATCCCATCACAAACTGGTTGAGGATATAGATTTAGCAAGGGGAGACTGGAAAAGGAAAAGGTATTTGACTTTTGGGGGATTGCCTGAACCTCCTCTTTCAGGTCTAACATTTTCTTTGCTGGATTCCCCCTCTTTGGAGTCTAAATTTCTGGTACTGAAATTAAATAGAGACAACTGATCAACTCTGGGCCCTGCACATGTGGTTTGATAAACAGCAAACAGCCTGGAATCTTGCATGGCTGACACTGGCTTTCCAGCTTTGTGGTAAGCAGCTGAATAGAAAGGAGAAGGCAGCAAGTCTTACACTGCGCTCGCCAAGAACATCTGCATTTATGAAAACTTTCCCTAATTGAAAATCTATTAGTTTCAAATGCTCTCCAACTGAGAGGTTGGAAACTAGCTCAGGGGCTGCTAAGATAGCAAGAAACAGCAGTGGGTGTGAGTCCCCAGTTCAGGTTACTCCCCCAACCCTCCTCCTTGTAATTTGGGCGTTGAGGAGGTGCTAATAACATCTCTACAAATTCTAACAAGGGAAAAAGTCTCTCTTTAGACTCCAACCACATTATTCTGCAGTTCTTTAACTCCCTTTCCTTGCAATCTCCCCTGCCCCCATTTCTCCTTCTCCTCAGTATTTCCTCCTGTTTCTTTGAGATCTACTACACCAAAAATATTTTTGGAAATACCACAGACTATTGTTTTTATTAGTGACTGGAAAGCTTTGTAGTAGGATGCTTTTGTGTTTCATTTGTTTTCCTTGCTCTGGCACAGCTGTTTTTGTTTTAAGCAGCATTAGAGAGATGGTTAAACTATTTGTGGCCTTTTCTAACCCGGCAGATCTCTTCCACTGAATGCTTTAAACTGAATGACTGAGACTGTAACTAACAGGTTGTCTGCGTGGGCAGTTTTGTGCATAAAGTTACAAATGCACTGGTTTTATGAGATGTTTTAATTTGTTCGAGCAAAACACTGATCACTGTGAAGCAAGTCCCAGTTTTCCTATAAATTTCCCAGCCAGAACATTGACAGAACCTTGACTCGGGAAGATACAGAACAGATGAAGCAGTAGATCTTGTTCAAACCTGCACACGTTCAGAAATGATTAATGGAAAAGAGGTTTATGTAGGTGTAGTGATCTCCACCTCAGCCAAGAGGGAAAAAGAAGAAAAGCCAGAGCAGGTGGTGGGGCAGAATGCGGTCTGAAGACAAATCTGCTGAAGGTGACATGTAGCAACTACAAATGCCTAACTGGCCACTATGATTACATGCAGCAAGATGGGCAATTAGGAAACAGGCATACAGTCAGAGAAGGGTGACAGCAGAAAGTAGTAAATGAAGAATGACGTGGAAAAAAAGCAAAGTAAATGGAGAATGAAAACGTAATACATCTGTACAAAAACACCTTAAAAGCAGAGGGAAAAGAGGAAATGAGTTGTACTAGAGGGCTCAGTGCTCATGTCTGGCGACATAATGTAAGTGATATTCAAAGTATGGCTGATGAATAGCAGGAAAATGAAAGTTAAGAGCGTAACCATGTCCTGCTAAATCCCGGTCTTCCCACATGTTCCCACCAGTTCTGCAGGGCAGACACAAGCTGCTGCACAGTGATTAGGCTTAGAGACTCAATCTCTTCAAGAGTGGTTTGGCAGTTTTCTTTCTGGTGAGGTCAGGCAGATGACAGACCTGGCTTGATTTGCCATGTGGCATTGTCAACCCAGGACTGGTACTGGCAAATCATGTGGGTATGGGGGAGGTGGCACCACCCCTGTCAGCACCTCACAGCATTGGAAAAGCAACACATATGTCAGCTCACTTATGAAATATGATACAGGTGGAGAGGTGAAAGTACATACTGTATCTCCCACCTACAGTGCTGTAGAGTGTGGCTCTCTCCTTTTTATGCAATGGGTGGGGAAGCCACTACACTTGTCAGAAACTGCTTCCTTACTGACACTGAAAAAAATAAGGCTGAGATGACTTTTCATGCACATTTTTTCCTTGCTGATTTTTGTCTTTTTAATTCATTAAAAATAATTGTTTCCAACTCTCCTGTCAGCTTTGCTGGGGGACACATCAGTGAATTCATGACTAAATGAGGCCAGGGACAATGCAGCAAACAATTCTTGTGTCTGGAAGTCTAGAATGACCAAAATCTGTTGTCAGATGATGATATCGAAGCAATAATAGCAAGATAAGAGGACAGAGAAACTGAGCAGAGCTCAGTAAGGGATTGCCTATGTAGCTGCATATTAGAACAACTGGAGTTAAGCTGAAGGTTGTTATCAAATCACAGAAGATCAGACCTTGTATAATAACAGTTTATCACATGCTTTTCCTCTGTCTAAATACTGCAGAAAAAGCATCAGCTTGAGCTGACCCAAAATGCAGTATTTTCTACTTTCAGCTTTATTACAGTCACAGAACAAAAATTTTTAAGCAATTTTTATGCACAAAACTATCTTAGATATAAGAGGACCCCTGTGGAACAATGTGAATGAGAAAAGATATGCATATACTGGCTTCTGTATCAACATCTGTAGACATTGGTTACTCACCTTCATAGTCAATTTTGTTGAGAAGGAATATATTCTATTTACATGACCTGCATGCACAGAGACACATGACTACTTCTCTGCAGCTGTGTGTTATCCAAGAGGCTTTATTCAGCACAATGGAGTACAGGGATTTGTTCACCTGCCTATCCCCAGGCAGGGACTGCAGTTTCTGCAGATGGAAAGGCACCTCACAAGTACAAGAGTATCAGTTGTCCTTCCTACAATGCCATAATAATCAATGTAGTTAGATTTAGTTCATTTCATGTTTTACTTCTCAAATAACAGCATATACATTTTGGCCAAATTGTTACCTACAGCCCTGTTTCTTGCCTGTGACTCAAATTATGATCTTTGCACTGAGTGTTCTTCTGGCTGACTCATTTCAGGGCTCCAAAGAGTGCGCCAGCTGGGGAAAAACACAAGATACTTCAGGCGAAAACTGCATGAAATGGGCTTCATCATTTATGGCAATGATGATTCTCCTGTTGTCCCCTTGCTCCTTTATATGCCTGGTAAGATAGGGTAAGTACTGAAAAAAAACCTGTCAGCAAAACAAATACTATTCAATATCATAGGTTATTTGGTATACACTGTGGAAAATGTAGCTCTGTGGGGTATATGCCTCCCAGGAGAAACATGCGCTTTTAGGTGAATTTAGTACATTTGTAACGTTCAGTTCTGCTCTCTTTTTTTTTTTTTTTTAGCCCTTTTCTCTTTTTAAATTTGGCAGTAGACTTAATTTTAAGCTGTTCCAGTATTCAGAATTTTAAAATTTTTCTCTTAGCCTTTTTTAACTTGATCTGGAATAATACTTTTGATAACATTTTGAATCTGGATTTTTTTTAAAAAATTTTGTCATTATTAAATGTGTTGATAACATTTTGAATCTGGATTTTTTTAAAAAAAATTTTGTCATTATTAAATGAGACACATTGATGTATGAATGGTTTTGGATGGACGTTCTTTTTCCCCATATGGTCTTTGAATGGTCTTTTCACGTTTTACCATTCAGTTCTTCTCAAGCAGCACTTGTGCACACAGACCAGAAGTCAGTAGTAGTATAAAGTGAGGGTTGAGCTGTAGGAAGTATTTGCAAGTAGCTTAGGGTGGCTGTGTGCTCTATGTCTCGTACATACCACACAAAAGCTTCCTAACTGACAGAGTAATTGTGAGAGCAAATAAACCATCACACAGGTTGTTTTATTGCTGTTGATGTACCAAGCTCTTATACCTTCCAGGAGCTCAGCCTCTGCCTTGCTTAGGGACTGTGAATGCCCTGGTGTTTTGATTTGCACTCAAAGCTTTTCATTGACATAAGTGAATCATGTCTATCCTGCAGTGCTCTCTCTGCCATCACACTTGTAGGGTTTGACATGCACTTGTCTTCATGAGCTGCTAAGCAGCAAAGAATCTCACTCCTACTGGTAAAAGTTCTGGCTCTTATGGAAATCAGTGGGAATATTACCATCCGCTTCTACTGCAGACAGGATTTTACCTATTGTTTTCTTATACATGTTTTCTCTCTGTGGTCAGTTTATTGGAGACATTTTACTTTCGGTTTTTTTCTTCTACTTCTCTCCTTAGGGCTTTTGCAAGACGCATGTTAGAAAAAAATATCGGGGTGGTCGTGGTTGGGTTTCCAGCTACTCCTATCACAGAATCCAGGGCTCGGTTCTGCGTGTCGGCGGCACATACACGGGAGATG